CAGCGCTCGGTCCGCGGAGAGGCGGCACGGCGGAGGTGCGGGTTTGTAACGGGTCCCAGCTGCTCTGGTCGTGTAAAACATCTTCTTCTTTACAGACCTGAGGTGCAGCACGAGATCCCGGCTTTTCACAACCGACAGAAATGAAACAGGCACAAATACTGTCGTGTTGGAAAAGTGAGACCGATGGGCGGGTGTGTCCCGCTGCCGGTGTCGACTTCCCCTGCTTAGTTTGTTAGATCAAGCTACTGTAAAACAGATGAATAATACTAGCGATAAAAGTTGAAATTAAATTGCCATCAAGAACAACAACAAGAACGGCAGGGGGGTGTTTGTTTTTAAGAGTTGTTATTTGGAGGTGAAAGCTAAATTTCTACGTTGGTTTCTGGAATCGAATCTGCGCTGTTCTACCTGCAGCGAAGATACCTCCTGAAATTTATGGGTTTAGGTTTCGGTTCTGGTTTTGTACTGAGTATTTTTGTGAGAAGAAATAACTGTCTAAAATGTGTGTCTACAGTTAAACTCGAGGGAATTTGTTCTGCAATGACCATATCGTCGATGTGAATGGAAATTACATGGAAATGTAGAGTGCTTTAAAACGAAAAACAGAAAAAAATGAGGGCAGGGGCAGCAGTCGCTGGAATTGTTATCTTCTGTCATCTTTCAGAGAAAGCCCATCCAAAGGGTTAACCGGAGGGGCTGAGGGAGAACAGGCACCTGGGACCTAACACCCAATTGGCAGTCTTTTGTAACATGTAATTTGCCTAAAATTGCGCACTGAGCACAAGCTTTTGTTTTCTAATTGATTTACGGTTTGAGCCACTTTTACCTCATCCCCTACTGTCCTGCACACAGTGCCAGCAAGTACATTACAGTGAGAAATGATAAATTACCATGCACTTGTGATGCTAATGCATCAAGAGTAAAAAACTGCATACTACATGGAGCTTCATGCATTAAGAGTGTGGCAAAGATAGAGCTATGCAAAAAAATCATTTGTATCTTCTGAAATAACCGTTTGATCATTTACTTCAATTTGTCTCTGAGACCTAATTGAACCTGAAGATTAAAATTTATGCTATTATGGCTTTCCATTTGTGAATTGGGACGAAGTTCTAAAGAAAGCCTGCTAGTGTGGGCTTAAAGCTACCTGTATTTTTGAAACTTTTAATAAGTTAATTGATCAGAAAAGTAACAGGTATTACCACTTCTTAAAGCCTTTTTAAAATCTAAATATTGTACTTGTTAATGACAATTACAGTATGCGTTCTCAAGTGGCGTTGCTCCACTTTTAGATGGGAGTATGTGGAGGTGGCTTAATATAGCTACTATCTAATTGCTGTTTGTCACCAAAACTATTTAAATATTTTAATCCGTTTTATTTCGGAGGTGTAGTGCATCTTGTACTGAACAAAACCTTTACAGGTATCAAGGAAGAATTGAAAATCTTGTATGTATAATTTTTACTTGCATTTGTGAAATACCTTACTGATATCCCAGAGAAAAGGAAAAATGTGGAAGTTGGTGAAACCTAATATGTGCTTATTGTCTGGTTTCTTTCCTCCACCCTGTACCACAGGCTGGGTTTTGTTTTACCTTCACATACTCAGTCCACCTTAAATTTCTTATTTTTGTACGATGTCTGTGGGTTCCAGTCTTGAAATATGAAGAAACAGATTTATGGCGGCTGCTGGGCACAACAAATTAAGTTGACAGTGATGTATGAGAGCATAATAGCATGATGATCCCTCTGTAGCGCGGCTGGACGCCTCCTGCTTCATTTGGCTCTTGTTAGGATCTGTTAGGCAGCTAAATAATGAAATTCTGCTGACTGATTTCTGATTTCTCTTTTCTTTCTCTTTTCACCTTTTTCTGAAACTTGCATTTCCCAGACCCATCCTAATGCCAGCAAACTGCCCTTAAAGGATTCTTTCACTTATGACGACTACAGGTTGGTTTGTATTTTAATTCTTTTTTTTTTTTTTTTTTTTTTTTTTTTTTTTTTTTTTGTAGTATAGTGAACTGTGGGACCCTGGAAATGCTTCATTGGTAGGAAAGCCCTATTGTTATTGAAATGTTACATGTAGGATTTGATACTAATACACTTTGTTAATGAAGAAAAAAGTAAAATAAATATGCAGATTTTAATTGTTACAAAGGAGTAATCATTATGAGCAGTTAATTTAGCCGACTGACACACGTAGTCTGAGATTAGTAAAGTAATTCGATGTTTCTTAAGAAAATAATTCAGTTGACGTTTCAGGAGGTTTGGGTTTGGGGTTTGGGGATTTTTTTTTTTTTTTAATTTCTTTTTTTTAGGAAAGGCTTTACCAGCACACAGTAGTAAAAGCTAATATTTACAGTGGCTGTTAAACAGGAGAGATGGAGAACTCAAGCTGTACACGTGAAGCATGAGTGTCATTTGGAGGTGCTATAGGGGGTGACATAATTAAGATAAAAATAAGAATAATGACGATAACAAGACCTTTAATTCTGTTAAGTGATTAAAATAGCATGAATAAAAGGCATTCATGAGGTCTTACAGGGATTTTTTTTTTTTAGCCTAGTTGTACTTCTGGGTAAGTCTATGAAAGTGGGATTTCCAAAGCACGCCTCCTTCACTTACAGGGTCACAGAGGAACACGCCAACTTACATGTGAAATGGTCTAAAATTTTGCAAATAAAGTACAACAATTAAAAAGAAACATATTGCTATTATGTTTCAAACAGTGTATGTATATCAGAATTATCCACATTCTAACTTGCTTTTTTAGAAATTAAGGAGATTTCAATTTGATGGTATCTTTCTAAGCAATCTCTAGTTCTTCTGAAAATATCCTTCTGAAAGTCTAATTCTGTGTATTAGATACTTGTTAGTATTGGAGTCAGTGGGTGTTAAAATTATTTTGACCTTCTCCTGGTGGTGTTTCCCCCCCCCCCATCAAAAAAACCCACAACAAATATATGTATTAAGGCCAGAACATAGTGAAACTAAGATTATTCTTTTCCCTCTGGCATTTAATATTCATTTTTGTCTGAAATAAAAATGAAATTTTAGAAAATACTGAAATGTTAAGCTTTTCTAAAGATTCTTAAGTTTGAGTAGGTAGCTGGCATTTCCTTTGCATAACCTGAGTTAGAATGGTTTTGAATGATGTCTGTATGCTAAACTATGTTATACTTTCTTCATTCTTTTTACCCGAATATCTGTTTGGGGTATTGGGGTGCTTTTTCCTCTTTATTCTGTTAAGCGGAAAATGTGGCAATACTCATCTAAGCCAAAAGTTCATAAGCTGAAGAGAAGCCCTTGCCAAAATATCATGCATGTGTCAGGTGATGACACTGGTTTCCAGTTCATGCAGTACATAGGCTTTTTAGGGAGCGAGGGGAAAAATACCTCCTGGCTCTTACAAGAGCACACGTAGATAAGAGCTACTGCTGCCAAGCAGCAGCTGTGAACTACTCTGAAGCTGCAGGAATAGCTGACCCCAGGTTTGGGATGTGTGGTGAGAGGTATGTGTGCAGTGAAGTGTTGGGGAAGAAGAAGGTGACGTGGGAGTGGGTCCTGGTTGAGGTAATGGAAGGTATGAAGGTTCTGTTGCAAAGAGTGCAGAGGAGGGGTGGGATTGCAATCCTGATTTGGGAATTGGTCTATGTGCGTGTCTTGGAAACCTAGGAGCTGCTGCTTTTCCTTCAAGTGGCATTGCCTTCTACTGTTACTGTAGTCAGTGTGATCTTTAAGAAAACTTAGTTTGGAAATTCCCAGCCTAAATGATTGCTTAAGGTTGGACTACAGCCAATCGTGTATTAATGTTTTGAACATTGACCATCTAATGTTTTTAATTTTTGTAGATGGGCGGTTTCCTCTGTTATGACACGGCAGAACCAGATTCCAACAGAAGATGGTTCCAGAGTTACATTGGCTCTAATACCTTTATGGGACATGTGTAATCATACTAATGGACTGGTAAGGTTTTCTTCAGTGTTGCTGAAAGGCTTTAGGGCTTAAGTATTAAGCCTTTGAACTGCTGTAGAACAGTTTAATAACACTTTTCATTATACTTCTTAACACAGGTATTTTATCTTCCCAAGTGACCTTAAAAAACTAATATCTGAAAGAAAGATTTGTCAGTTTCTTAAATGTATTATGATAGCTTCTCAGGGGGGAACTTCCTTCATCTAGAGAAAACTTCAGAAGTGATTGCATAGTTGCATACAGTTGTGTCTCATATACATAAAATGTACCTTTAAAAGTTTTCATTTACATGATATCTTTTTTCCAGCCAAGTTTGAATATTCTTCTGACATGGAGTTTTGTTTCTGATGGGCTGAAAAAGAGTCACAATACTGGACAGATTTGTTCTGAGAATAGGAAAGCAGACAATGATGAAGGTTGTCTCTTGTAGCTACCACTGGGGAAAGTGGTTAGAAATTTGCAACTAAGAAATACTGCCTGCTCTCCTAACCATGCCCAAAGAGCCTTGTTTATGGAGACAGCAACAACAAGAACAAAGCCTAGTTCAACAAAAACAGTACATCTGTTACTACATCAAAGAAACAAAATGCAAAAATACTACTTTAGGGCATATTAAACATTTAAAAGGTGACATATGTATCTAGAAAGTCAGACCTGCTGACATTTCGGCTTACATGAGCTAGTTCAGAAGATGAGGTCTTGATTTCATTAATAGCATAGTTAATGTTGAAGTGAGGAAATGGAAATCCGTAAGACGATGGTTTATCAATGTTGTTTAGCCAGTCTCATGTACGCTCCAAAATTCATACCCTCTAATTGTGTTTCTGGTAGATAATATTATTTATTGTAAGCAGTGAATATGACCATACTATTCAAGTCACCTGGTTCTTCTGTGGGAGAGTTGACCTGACTATTAGGACAGCAGCATGTGTTAGTACTGTTGGTATGAGAAAAGCCTGGTTCCAATGAACAAATTGTAAAGCAAGTTGGTTTTCACTTGACGTTTAGCTAATTCGTTGTTACTATGATTGTACCAAATACAGCACGGTAGGCTAGGCTACAGAGTTGCAAGTGTTTGGGGTTTTTTTATTTATTTGTTTTTCCCTATTAGAAGGTGATTACATGTTGTTCTTTAACAGTGATTCTTGCCTTTTGCTATTTGTTATGCAATCTCATAACTTTGATTTAGCAATAAAGCTTGGATGAGAGTCTCCAATGTAAAGAAAATTGCTTAGAATTCAGGAATGTATATTTTTGTAATATAAGTCTTAGCTGCAAGTATCAGTACTTCCTGTACCCTTTTCCTGCTGGGCATCTCTTTCAGATGCTTTTGCAGAGACTTGTCTGTATTCATTAGAGAACTCTTAATGAATGTCTTCAAAGTTGGGTTTAGAGGAAAGAGGAAGAGAATTAAGATTCTGGGAGGGAAAAAATTAAGTAGCCTATATTAAAAGAGCAGCTAGTTATGTTGTTTTAATCAGTCAACCTTCTATTTAAATTGATAAAGTAATTTTTATTTTTATTATGCTCTTCAACAATGGGTTTGATATGGAGCCAGCCTCTGGAGCCAAACCTGCTAGTGCAGTAGTATATCAGGGCTGGAAGCATTTTTTTATGCTGAAGTGTATCCTAAAGGGGGGAGGGGGAGGTCTGTGTGTGTTCTGAACACTAAATATTTTGTATGTATATACAGACTTGACTTGTTTGTTTCATCTTTCTCCAGAAACTAGTTTAGATGGTTATAGATTTAGAAAGGATAGACAACTGTAATATTGATAATGGGCTAAGAAAAGCTACTAAACCTATTTCTGTTGTGTGTTAGTTTCCTTCTAGTGTTAGAAATAGGGGAAAAAAACTGTTAAGGTAACTGTAAGCTGCTAAGGTAACTGTAAGCTGTCTGTATTGTAGTTTATGTTATTGTAGAGTGAGATGAGGGTGGGTTCCACTCTAATCATAGCACATCCCTTTAAAATACATGAAGGGAATTGTTCTTCATTGCAGGAAAGTAAGAAACAAAAGATGGCGTTGTATGTGCTCCTGTCTAGTCTATTCCAAATGTAGTGCTGAAATACTTCTTGAGTCAGTCAGCTACTATAGATCCCTGTTCTTGCTTTATTCCACAGGGCCCCTTTCCGTGAGCTAGATAATAAAATGCTCTTTGGGTTTTAACTGGAGCTAGGTCAGTCCAGCTTTTCTTGCTTCTGACACTATTAATTAGATCAACCTGCCTCTAAGAACTATATCAAAATGGTTGTCTTCATGCATTTCTCATTGTTATTCTTTAGTGGGATTGTATTTTGACAGTCAGAGGTTGATTACCAGTTCTGCCAGAGTTTTAAATAAGCTACATTCTGCCTGTTGGGCTGGGTCCATCCTTAATCACTGACCAAGCAGACTATTGCATGCTTTATACACAACTTGAAATTCATGTATCAGTCTGCTTCAGAAATAAAACTGAAGGGATGCAATTTGTCAGCTATCATGTGGGAAGAGAAGTAAACACCCTGTTAATTCTCTTACATGACTGCTATTAAAAGAAAGAGGAAATAAGAGTCTAGCACTCCATTATGCTTTATAGAAAAGCCTTTCAGAAGCACTGCTGGGTTTTTTTTTGTGTTGTGGGGGTTTTTTTTGGTTTGTTTGTTTGTTTGTTTGTTTTTAAAGGCAAAAATAAAAAAACAATCCCAAAACCGAACAGTACTCTAGTGAAGCACGCTTAAACTGACAGAATCCTTCTCTTAACATACCAGAGTTTCCGCAGTCCTTGAAAGCCTCCTGTTCCACAGGCATTTCAAGAAACTGGAATGGAGTTGTCACATTCAGAAGTATTTCATTGAGTTTGCCTACTAAGAATATTTCAGGATGGGTCAAGTGCTGTCAAGAGTTCCCTTTTTTGAATGAAAGTTGCAGTTTTTCCCAAGATGACTGTATTTGAATTTGGAAGGTATATTTGTCATAGCAAAGGTAAATCCTCCAGCACCTGCAACCTGGAATTCAGGGTTAAATAACCTTCTAAACGAGAGATCTTAGTTAAAATTGCTCAGTCCAACATCATGAATGTACAGGAATTTCTGTGTTCAAGTACTACAGCCTGTGTTTTGCAGTAGGCTGTATTGCATGACTCTTGTGTTCTCATCTCAACACGCCACAAACCCATTAATGGACCTGAAGTGATGGCATCTGCATGCAGAGCAGTTCTGCAAGCCTCCGCAGGGCCAGGCTGCCTGCGCTCGTGGCTGCCGTTTTGGATTTGCTGCATTGTAGACAAGCTCCCCGTGCTCACTTTGAAAGCACTGTTTTGGCTGACAAATGCACACTTGATGATGCAAGCAGTGTAAAACTATTAACGTGTAAACCATCAACCTAGCTTTCAAAATAATCCACGGAGTTCTGTCTTTGGACAAACTGCATCCAAAATGGGAACCAGGGTATACCGCAACTCACATGTGAGTCATCTGACAAAAAAGTATGTTTCCATTTACAAAGGCTAAGAGAGAATCTTCAGCTTCTTCTAGGTCTTTCCCCAGGCCCAGAGCATATTTTTCCACATTAGCTCTGCCACTACTGAACGCAGAATACCTACCATAATTCAGCAGCTTATGGTCCATCCTGTGGCTGCATCTGTGCCTGCACCTTTCATGACGCTGTTCCAGGAACATGCTGTTTGTCACTTTAAAAAAGTATTACATTTTTAGAATAGCTTTACTTGTTAGTGTGACCACTTTACGGTTTTGTAATTTTTTTCGGAGAAGTGTAGGTTTGTTAAGAGACTTGATCCTCTTTCATTGCCTGCTACCATAAAAAAAAAATCCTTTTAGCATTTTAAGAGTATTATTTAACTTTAGATAAAGGGATTATTTGCAAGTAAATTATAATTCTCTGAAGATTGTATCCCCTAAAGATCCACAGTTATCTAATCCTTTTTCACTGAGAGATCAAAACTGTGCTGGCAGTGGAAGGATAAAGCACAGCATATAGAGCTGTGAGCGCCTTGCTCCCTTGGGCCTCATGGGAGTGACTGAAAACTCCAGAACTTTGTAACAAGCTGCCAGCTTTAGCATGGGACTGTCTGTGGTCTGTGGAAGGTGCTTTCCTCAGAGCCTTCCGTTCACTTCAGGTAAGTTATTTCTTCCCTTAGATTTCTTTAATGTAGAGATTTTTTAAAAAGAGATTGCTCAGGAATCATAAAACAATTACTATCAGCTATATTATATTGTGCAGAGAAGGAAATGTATGTAACTGCTATTGTTAGTATCTGTTTCCAATAGGACAATGTTTTGTCAACGGTGGGGGAGATAAATATAAAATGCTAAAGGTGCTTTTGTAACTTTTTCCTTGGATAGATCACTACAGGCTACAATTTAGAAGATGACCGCTGTGAATGTGTAGCACTTCAAGATTTCAAGGCGGGAGAACAGGTAGTGTGAACAACTATCTACATAATTGTTCTTTAATTAAGTTTTGTGGACACTTGGTAACTCCCTACAAAATTTTAATAGCAGAGTGGTGTGGATTAAGCCTTGCTACATTTGAATTTTATTATGCTGAGTTAATTTTGTGTGAAAATACCACCAAACTAAATAAGTGCACGTTTTTCAGAATAAAATATTTTCTGTCACTTGGTAGACCGCAACTTTAGGAGAGTTTTGATTCCTCATATTTTAGAGAACTCGTTGAAATATTTAATCACCGGTAAATGGACGTACACAGACACTGAGTTTGGTATTCTGGATAAGATTAATAAAAGGCCATATCCAAAGGACTAAGATAAATATATTTTAGATTTGGGGTGTCACTTTGTCTGCAACAGCAGATTGTAGAGTCTTCTTAAAAAGGTTGTTGGTTTGTTTCTTGTTAGTCGTCATTTAACAAGAAGTTAAATGCAGTACAGTTGCCAGTCATTTTACCTATGCCGCCATTCCCATGCTTAGTGAAAATGAGAAAGGACGTAAAAGTATACTCCCTCCCTTTCACACAGGCATGCACACATGTACACCACCCCTTCATCCTGAAACAGAGAGTACCAAAGGGCGAGTCTTGCAAAGATGCGTGGAACAGTTCAGAATCCAATATTTTGTTCAGAACTGCGAAGAAACAAAAATGAGTGTTAAAACTAGTGATGTATTGAAGACAGTGGTTCCAGGAGTGTAGGAAATCTCTGGTAGGAGGGTCACTGTGCTGTGTCAGCAGCCAGCCTAAGCCCTCAAGTGTAGTAGCGCTCTCTTTGTCCTACTGCTTGTGCAACTGTAGTCAGCATGGCCAGAAAAAGACTTTGGCTATGAAACATCCTGAAATGTTTTGTAACTCAGTCTCTGAGTTATTACCTTTAGTGCATTATTTTGCCAGTCTTACACTTAATATTTTGATTTTCATTTTTCTTGTGTATTGTTACCTTGTTTTTTTTAAGAAAGATGTGTCTGAAAAATCTTTTTTAGTATGTCTTCCCAGAGGTATATTTATCTTCATTGCTATGCTGGGGTTTACAGTGATTGTGCATTTTTTGTGTTGCACTTAGAATTTGTTACGGTAGTCAAGTATTTGCTGTTTTTCCCAATACCGGTATGATGAGTTAAAAGGGGTCCACAGTTTTTCCAGAAGTGATCCCATTTATAATTTTCCGCAGCTGGCAATGGATGTGTCATATAGCTGTTCTGGCTGCTCTCTCCATTTCAACTATAGAGGCTTCCTCTATTTTGATTTTATTTTAGTAGTTTTACTTTGCTATTTATCAGAGTTTTTAAAATTTCTGTGCAAACTTTAACTGTTATCGACATCATTAAAGCACTTTAATTATATAACGCTTCAGTCTTTTAATATACTGTGCAGATGTTATTTCTTACAGTTTTTTTTACCGTTGCTTTTACTACTAAAAAATGTGAGGCAGCAGAAGTCCACAGAATCTATCAAACACTGGCCTTGAATAAAGCAACTTTCTCATTCTGTTTAATTGGCTTTTTTTGTAAAACAGTCTTAGAGTGTAAGAGCGTACTGTATAATCTACACGTGATATGTGACTTTAGTTTAATATGAGATGTATCGCAGTGGTTTTAAAATTTGAGAGGGTTAGCAACTGCCTCCTTAACTACTGCCTTAACATACCTAAGCAGGTCACTTGTTCATTATGTGACTGTGTTACAGTATAATGTCTACTATAATTTAATATAATGGTTAAGCATTTGGTGCTTAGGATAAACAGTTCTAACCTAAAATTGAAAACAAAGAAAGTAAATGGCATCGTTAGTGGTTTTGGGCCCTTAAGAGAACACTGTACCTTCCTCTGTCAGTTAGGGAGGAGTGGGAGCTTACAGGTTTCCAGAGCATTGCTGTACCCTAAGGTTAAGAAGGGAGTTCTCTAACTGTTGAAACTTTTTTTCTGATTGACAATTCCATTATCAAACAAAAGGGGAAAAATATCCTCTTGATATGGGAGAAGAGCATAGCTACTCTGACCTCTTGTCCCACGTACTTCATACAGCCTAGCCCCGAATTAAACACTTTTTGGAGGTTATATTTAGGAACTTCTTTTTTTACTGTGAATTAAAGTAACCTATTTGCTTTAGATAAAGAGTTCAGAGTATAACACAAAAATAAATACTGGCTGAACACAGATCAGATCTCTCTGTATATTTTGTATATCCATGCCTCAATGTAACATAAAAACAAAAGCAAAGTTGATCCATCAGCAGTGTAGGTTACTCTTTTGGGTGGACATATGGGGGGGAAAATGACCCCAGAAACACCGTTTCTTTTAACGGGACCTCCTTGCCTCAGAATTTTTAGCTTTTAAAGGGCATAGGATCTTACTGATCATACTGATATTTTATGACAGTGTGAGGAAAAAAAAGCATTTTATTTTAAAATATAGAATAAGAACCTCTTCTCTCCTTTCAAAGTCTCTGTTACATGGGTATGTTTACATCTACCTCTAAAGTATATTGCCACACTATATACAGCATTTGAATCGATACCAGAAAACAAAGTGTGGGTTTTGGTTTGGTTTTTTTTTTTTGTTTTTTTTTTTTTGTATAACCAAATATACCTTGTACTCAGAATAGTAACTATTTCAGGAAATAACTTTCAAATTATGTCAGTTTTGTGAGCTGATCTTAAGCTTTTTTCCTGTCCCTTCACTTCTCTTTTCATCCTTCTAGATTTACATTTTTTATGGCACTCGGTCAAACGCTGAATTTGTGATCCACAGTGGTTTTTTCTTTGATAATAATTCACATGACAGAGTGAAAATAAAGCTTGGCGTGAGTAAAAGTGACAGGCTGTATGCTATGAAGGCAGAGGTCTTAGCTCGTGCTGGTATCCCAACGTAAGTAAAACACAATGCTGTGGGTTTTTTAAAACGTTTCCAAAGTATATAGTGTCCAGTAGAGCATATATAAAGCTGTTCTATGATAGTTCTCTTAGGTGCAATATTTATCCTGTTTGTATAGCAAATTAAAGCTATTGTAATAATATTTACAGAAATTCTCTGAGCTATATTATCATCTAATTTGGACCATATATAAGGAAAAAAGCCTTTGCTTTAATAACCATTTGAACAAAAACAGAGCAAGGATTAATTTGAAGCAATCTGTGGTTTTCCTTTCTTTCCTATCCCTTGTAGACATACTCCGATGCTCAGTATGTGAACCACAGCATTTTCCTTTAGTCTTTTCAGTCCAGAGGGTACTGTTAGGAGCAGCAGACGTGAAACATTGTATTTTCATGAATTTATTATGAAAGCCATATAAAATTAATTGTAAGTGTAAAATCGTAGAGATAATTCTTCAGATACAGGTTAGGGAAGCTTTTCTTCAGTTTGAACTAGTATTACCTAATTTTTTAAAAGTTACTTTTGTAACAGTGCATTTGTTGTATACTTTAAGGTCTTTTATGTTGAAATAAGTTCAAAGGTATGACAATAGAAGTTTCATTTACTATTGCCGTTTGATTGTTTCTTTTATCAGTTCTAGTGTTTTTGCCTTGCACTCCACTGAGCCTCCAATCTCTGCCCAGCTTTTGGCTTTCCTTCGAGTGTTTTGTATGAGTGAAGGTAAGATGTTTTATGAAGATAACCTAATTTATGTCTGGTTTGGGTTTTGTTTGTTTGTTTTTTTAATGCAGGAATGTGATAAACACTTATATAAAACATTAAGCCAGAAGATCAGAACACTTGAGGAGTTGAGGTTAAAAAGGGATGTATAAGCTAGTGAGAAACCCAGTCTTTGACCATGTTGTCTGAGGGAATATTTCAGTAACATAGGCCTTTCTGGAACTCCTAAAGCATGAGGTGATGCAGTTTTTAATTTTTTTCATCTCCCAGGCTGTTGTGAACGAGTGAGCTTTGGAGCTTGACCTTTAGCTCTTAGGTTTAAAAATGGTTCACAGAACAAGATCATGTGAGACCTAGGGGTTTACATGCTTAAAATCATAGCATATTAGCCATCACTGCTAGAATCATTTAGGTATGGAATTGGAATATTCTGTACTGTAGGAGAAATATGGAAGAGACATTTCAAAGTTGAGTATTTTCAATATTTTGGTAGTTTATAATCTAAACCCAGCTTATGCATTTGCAAACTGTCTTTGTAGTGTTTCCCTTATGTTAGGGACTTTTATGGGGAAAATATATGTACAATTAATAAATATTCACTTAATTTGTGCATGTGAAACTTCTGATTAAATGTTTGTAATAACTGCTTGCTGGTTAGATGCAGTTTTGGAGGTTATAGATGTGACAGAGAATTCCCTTGCAGTTAGGGATGCTGTGCAGATGATGTGGATTTTAATACCAGTAGGAATACTGAAGTTAAGTTTTTGCATGTGCTCTATTTGCTTTCTTCAATAAAAACAACCTACCTTATTTAGTGTCATGCCTTCACTGTGTCCTGTCATCTATCTTTTAGAACTTATTAAGAAATTAGAATAGAATAAATAGTTCAGTTGGAAGGGACCTACAGCAATCAGCTAGTCCACCTGCATGACCACTTCAGGGAAGTAAATTCAAGTAAAAAAAATTTTAGGATGGTGATAAGGGGGTGACTTTTGGCTCAGAGAAGAAAATACAGCTAGTAAACATTTTAATTGCATTACTCTGATATATGATTGTGCTCAGATTATATGTCTTAAATACTGTATAAGAAAACTGTTTATTGAGAAACTACATGCAAGTGTTCTGTGAAGTTTGCGATAGCTGCTTTGCAGGAGTGAAATTTGGTAATTAAAAGATTAATGGAATTTGTGTAATGTCAAGGACCTGATTAAACATTTTCTACTCTGTGTGAGGTTTGCTTGATGGATGTCTTTTTTGACCAACTGTAGGGAGTTTCTGCTACTGAAAAAGATTACCAAAATGACAGGAAAAATAATTCCATTGCTATTTGCACACTCTGGCCTGTTCCTTTTATTATCAAAAAGTTCACTGAACTCTTTAAAGAATTACTCCCTTTTGTTTATCAAGTATTACACAAAACATTCCGTCTCACTGTCACAGAGTTACGCTATGTATGAGAGGCTATGATACATAAAGTATCTTTATTTCAGTGTGGAGCAGAAGGTCCATTTTCTGCTAACCTCAAAACTTCCAGTTGCCTCTTATGAGGAGAATCCTAGAAATAACCAGCATATCTGATAATTCTTATTTGAGGAGAAGGTTTTTTTTTGTTAGCTGCTCAAAGCTGTACTACTGAAAATAAATCTTTCTGCAGTTTGTCAACTGACATAGTGAATGACGAGATTGTTTTTAACAGATTGGTTTTATACTTATTGCAGAAGAGCTGAAGGAACACTTGATAGGCGAGCATGCCATTGACAAAATCTTCACTCTGGGGAACTCCGAGTTTCCCGTTAGCTGGGACAATGAAGTTAAACTTTGGACATTCCTAGAAGCCAGAGCATCCCTTCTTTTGAAAACTTATAAAACAACTGTAGAGGTAAAATTATCATTATATGTAATTTAAATGTCTGAAACGTTTTGTGTTATGATTGTAGGAAAAGATATTTTGTCCCCCATCTTGTCTTTACAAACTTTAATCTGAATGTTCGTACATAATTCATTCTGTACTTTTTTAAAGTGTAGAAACAGATTTGCATTATCTAAGGAAAATCAAATAAGATTGCAAAAAAGAAAATTTTGTTAATGTAATTTTGTTAATGTATTTTTTTCTTTGATTCTCCAAATACAGGCTATCTGCTTTTTCTCTGCAAGTAAAATGGGGAATCAGTTTCAACTTGTTGTCTAGTAGTTGCATTCTGCAGGCTGCAATGAAATGTGCTACTATTGCGAGCATATAAGTGAACCTACGTGTTTCATATATTTGTGAAGTCTCCTGACTTTGCTTGTTATGCAGGCTGATCTATGTGGGGAAATTTCTGGCTGCTTTATGAATTCTTGACAAATTTCGCTGGGACTCCATGCAGACCCCCTCATTCATATATGTCCATTTGGCTCAGCCTGAAGAACCTAGCGTTGCTTTTTGTTAACTCATAGAGAGAGAAGTTGAAGGATTTTTTTTTTATTATTGTGTTGGTTGTTACTAACAAACTCACTTTTTCTTTTCTAACAGGATGATAAGTCCTTCTTGGAGACCCGTGACCTTACTTCACATGCGATAATGGCTATCAAATTACGCTTAGGTGAAAAAGAGATCTTGGAGAAGGCAGTAAAGAGTGCAGCTGCTAGCCGAGAGTATTATACCAAACAAATGGCAGATGGAGCTCCGCTTCCTAAATATGAAGAGAGCAATATTGCCTTGTTGGAGAACACTGTGGCAGACTCTAGACTCCCTATTGTCTTGAGAAACCTAGAAGATGTGGAAGAGCAAGGGGACTTAAAGATTGATGAAGCTATTGATGCTGAAGTCACAGAGAATGGGTTTGTAAATGGTGAAAACTCTCTATTTAATGGGACCAAATCAGAAAGTGAAAATCTAAATAAAGAGAAAAGCGACAGAGAGACTGAAGATGCCAAAGAATCTTCTTCAGAAAGTACTGATGAGGTTAAAGAATAGTCCTAAAATTTTACTTTCTTGTGAAATTAAATTAGCTGAAGTTTATGAACAGTGCATTTATGTTGGCGTGTTTCTTTGTTAACATTTCTCTTTCTGAAGAGAAAAATGTTTTTGCTGCTTTATATAAAAAAGAATTTTTAAGTTATTTAAAAGATTTAGCATCCCTTTTCAATTAAGATTGCCATCTTGCTTTCAGGCAAAAACTGGGGAAAGAGGTGCCTTTGGAAGATTTTGCAGCCCTTTGTTGAACCAAATGTATTTTCTTCCTGGGGAAGAATTAAGCTCTTCTATCTGCTGTGCTTTTGTTGTTCTGTCACTCTGACTACCGAAATTAAAAGCTTGCTCTGCCTCCTGCCAAGAAAAGCAGAAGGCAGGACTGACTCGGTATTCAGCATGAAGGTGGGAGAGCAGTACAGCAGAAAACTGGATAAGAGGATCAGAAACTTGGGAGACTGGAGGAAAACCTGTTTAAAATCAGGTGTGCCAGTCCAGAAAAGGTAAGGTGGCAACCTTATGATTGGTAGTTTTAAACGTTGATGAGAATCCAAATTGTATACACTTAAAGTGATCTCTGAAGATTTCAGTTTACTTTGTCTTTTGTTTACTGTATAAAAATATCTCATCTTTCTTCTTCAGTCAGAGTTAGGCTGCTACAATACCACATTCACCAACTTTTAAAAGCTGACTTCGTTTTATTTCCAGGCGGTACCTTTTATTTAGAAGATTGGCAGTGCTACTGGAGAGTTTGAAAGCAGATAGGCCAAGCCACAGCTTTAAACTGTACTGTTCAAAGTGAGGTCGCTTCCCAGCTTCTTCAGGTTTTCACAACTAGCTAGAGATTTTCAAAGCTACACTTTTGACTAAACCATTATTAAAAGGAAATATGATTAATATTCCTGTCTGCTACTCCTTCATTTCTGTGTTGTTGGATGTAACATTGAATGTGACATGGTTACCTGATCTTACTCAACTTCGTCTTTTGGTTAAGACTATTAATTGATGCTGTTTTCTTGAAGGAAATGGCAGGCAGGCTAATTTATTTTTGGCCCAAGTCCAGACCACAGCCAAGCCTGCAGTACTCTTTGCCATTTAAGTTATGTCTCCATCTGATGCACATTTCTTGGGATACCTCCGCAAGTTAAGCAGGTCTACTGTCTCCAGCAGTTTTGGTCACATACTATACGTTTTAACTTCTAGATGGAAACAGTACAATCCTAGCACAGTGCAATATTAGAACAAGGGTAATTCCAAGGCTTGACTTTGAAATTACCTGGGTATTGGGAGGAGAGGAGGGCGGAATATTTTTATTTTGTGGGTGAATGGAGAGGAGTATGAAGTGATTTAATTCTGTTCTCAGTATTAAGGACTTCGTCTTTTACCTTTGTATCCTTAAGTTCAGGATAATGGATAGAATGGACAAGCTTGGACAATTGTTTAAAGCTCAATAGATGTTGCAACCTGCTCATCCAAAATCAGTTGCAGTAAAATGTCTTTTGGCATATTCATAGTTTTATCAGATTTTGCTTCTTTTATACTGCAACTTGGAAAATGTGTTTTTGCATAAATCTTTGGTGCAATACACATGATAAGTAGTGACTTTTAGGTTGTCATAGCAGTTTCGGTGTTCAGCTAGCATCAGTGTGGGGAAAATAGAAAAAATAGTTTTTTAAAAAATATTTGACTAAGAATGGCACGTTGCCATTGCACCTTGGATATTGCTTCACCACTAACAAGATGCTGGACCAGTATTTTTGTAACTATATGCTGCCTTTGGTAGAATGTTATGAATTGTTGTCTTGACAGTTTAAATGTCATACAAAAGTCATTACATTTCGGTTTTTATTAGGACCAATATTCCATTTCTGTTTCCGCCACTTACATTGCACAACATTGTACTAGATACTATGATGCAATTCTGAAACTAGCCTTCCCTGAAAATTATAACTGTAATTCAGAATTTAAATGCTTTGATTCAATCTGATACACTGTATTTTGTTCCAGTATTTGCTGATATCTATGGCTTAGCAAAGCCTGTGGTCACCACAGGACAGAATGTGTGGGTTTTCTTGAATAAAATATAGTTCTACCATGTCTTCCCTAGTGAGTGTATTATGCAAACAAAACCTCTACCTGCTACCGACTGCTGTGTCTTTTGGGGTCTGTGAGGAGAGGAATAACTGTCCAGGTGTACAGATAAAGATTAAAGAAGAAATAGCTGGGGGGGGAGGGGAAGAGGGATTCTAATAAAGAGAAAGGGAAAGTGGTCTATTAAGCGCACGGTCAAATTCTTACTCTTCATATGTTAGTGTTATTTAGAAAAATATGTTGCACACAATAAACATAGTGAGTAATCTAATTTTGTAATCTGCATTTTTCCTCTCTGCATGTAATGGTTTCTCAGAAGCACTAACCTAAAACTTTAAGCTTTTGAAAACTGAGGTGGAAACAAAAAAAGTTGGCACTGATGAGCCCTTATTACCATCTGTCATGAAAACAGACCTTTCAAAGCATTTTAAAGTTAACTTTCTTCATAATGTTTAGTTAAGAGGCTGTTCACACTAATCCCAGGCTAAATGCCAAATCTTGCTTCTGTTTAGCTAGCTATCTGAAATATTCCTGTAAGAAAGACATCACTTGGATTTCTCGGACTGTTCTCCAAAAACAAAAGAGGGGAAAAAACACCCTTTTGAATTTCGCAGGAACCTACCTACCGACGAATTGTTTCCCTAACAACCTGTCACTTCTTTAGCTCTATACTGCAAGAGGTTGTCCATATAGCCCTGTTGATAAAAACAAATATACAAAGCTGAGCAACAACCTCCACTCTGAAAGAATGCTTATAAAGTCTATAAACTCAGCCGTAGCTTAAGTGCTGTCACGAGTACACGGGAGCTTAGAGCCTTCTGGCTGTGGAGGTAAGATGGTTTAGGATCTTGGCTAAAATAAGCTGTGTTTTAGCATCTTGTCTAAAATAAGTATTCCTGCCTTTGGACGTTGTGAAAAGGCGGTATGTACAGCACGTCTATGCAGCTCAACAGTAGCTGTATTCTTGAGGCTGATTTGCCTTTAGAGAGGAATGATCATCATGGAGTCATGATTTTGCATGTTTCAAAGGTACACTGAAGGATTTAGGTTACACAAACTGTTCTTCTCTAGTACACGTGTTTAGAAACAATATTTAGTATCTGCTGCTGCCACTTCTACCACCCTTATTTTATAGACAGGCACGTGAAGTAATTATAAAACGTAATTTGAAGTGTTTCAGTCTGACACAAAAGAGATGCTCCCAAAATCCACTGGCCCCTTCTGATTTTATGGACTGAAAGTCAGTCCTTGGTGTTTCTCGTCCTCTGTGCCAAACAGGAGCGTTCAGAAAAAACATTGCTCTACCAAATGTATCGGATGAAGCAACACCCCTTCCTTTTTCTCTAGAAGATTTTTAACTGATCCTTGTTGAAGTCAGCTGTGACCACATGATTTTCACATAATTACCATCTATATTTAATAGTTTCTAACATGCTTCCTTCTTTGAGTGCGTTGCTTGCTGTACAAAGTACAGCATGTAAATTGGTGACTCACGGTTAGAAGCCCTTCCTTAGCATTTCTCGGTTTCTGCATCTATTTCCTAATGAATGCCACAAGTTTGGAAACCATGCGGAGGATTTTTCAGTTAAAATAAATAAATCTCAATCCCTACTTAAGGAAAAAAAGCCACAAATGGTCCTGGATTCTTTTGGGGTTTGTGTCTCCTTAGGTTCGCTGCTGTATTCAGTGTATTTCAAAACTGAATAAGAGACTGCTATAGAGTTAGTGTAAATGACATAAACTTGAGCTTTAGTAATATGAATGAAATCTATCTATGATAATTTGTTCAGTGAAAAACACAAACTGAGATTTCGCCAAATGCCAAAGCGCCTATCCTATGGTACCAAGCAGGAACCAAAACACCCTTTTTTTTTTTTTTTTCCTTTTTTTGTACCTTTTGCTGAATATGGAGTGCTCTAGTACTTACACTCCTTGAATTATCAGTAACAGGCTTTGAAATATGCTTGCATAAGCTGTTTTGCGTAGCGGTGTCCGTGGGGTGGTATAGGGTACCCATGTACTTCTAACAAAATGTGATTTTTCCCTTGTACACTGTTTTTAGTCATTAACAATTATCTTTATTTTCAGTGTATGTAGACTTCAAACTTCACTTACAAATTAAATATCTTTTTTTTGTTGTTTTTTTTACATTGGTAGCAGCATGAACTGGACACGGCAGTTTACAAAAGCAATCAAGTTGGTCGTCAGTGTTTGCATTGTCCAGAAAGTGTTGCACAGTCAGTACTGGAACAGTTGGAAACCAGAAAGCATTTGACTTCTGCCTTTGTCTCAGTTGTGGTTTAACCCCAGCCAGCAACTAAGCACCACCCAGCCGCTCGCTCATTCCCCCTCCAGTGGGATGGGGGAGAGAATCCAAAGAGTAAAAGAGAAAACTTTTGGGTTGAGATAAAGACAGTTTAATAGGGAAAGCAAAAGCCGCGCAAGCAAAGCAAAGCGAAGCAAGGAATTCATTCACTGCTTCCCATGGGCAGGCAGGTGTTCAGCCATCTCCAGGACAGCAGGGCTCCATCACACGTAACGGTTACTTGGGAAGACAAACGCCATCACTCTCAACGTCCCCCCCCTTCCTCCTTCTTCCCCCAGCTCTATATGCTGAGCAGGACGCCATATGGTATGGAATAGCCCGTTGGCCAGTTGGGGTCAGCTGTCCCAGCTGTGTCCCCTCCCAGCTTCTTGTGCCCCCCCCAGCCTCATCGCTGGTGGGGTGGGGTGAGGAGCAGAAAAGGCCTTGACTCTGTGTAAGCGCTGCTCAGCAATAATGAAAACATCCCTGTGTTATCAACACTGTTGTCAGCACAAATCCAAAACATAGCCCCATACCAGCTACTGTGCAGAAAATTAACTCTATCCCAGCCAAAACCAGCACAATCTCTCATGCTAGGAAGCCTTAACAGCTGGAGCTTGTGCCATTTTTCATCATGAAAGATTAAGCTAGATAGGGGAGGAAAGCAAGGAGATGTCCTTAAGTGGAAAATAAAAGCTGGACAACTGAACACTAGCTAGCTTGTCTCAGAGGCAGTGGTTGCTATCCTGAAGAATAATTCAGTGAGTGTTCAAAAAAAGAGTATCTCCAATTAATACTGTAATTACTGTGGGTTTTTAAGCAAGCCATACATTTCACAATTAGACAAGGGCTTCACTGTCCCTAGGAAGAGGTAAAAACATATGAATTAAAAGCTGTTGTAATGTGTCAAACTGGCAGTGAAGAACAGATGTAAGTGGCTGCTTGCCTTGCTGTCGGTGCTGAGGGCAGCCTGAGTGAAGCCTGGGCTGGAGTCGCTGTTGTCCATTGCCTTGCTCCTCTGCCCTCGTGGGAGAAACACTCGGCACCGAGCGGGTAAGGAAAGGCTTTATGAATCCAGCATGGAAGCACTGGACAAAGCCACAGAGTGCAATATGAAAACAGAAGATACTGTTGTATTCAGGACACCCACCTGAAATATGATGTGACTAGACTTGGGGACCTTTGTCCAAATAATATTTTTGCATATAGGACTATTTTATTATATGAAGTTGATTAAGCACAGAAGAGGCTTTTGAACCTGAGTCTTCCATCTTCCGGGTGATTCCTTCTGTTGACAGTGCTCGGAACTTTTATTTCTGTTTTTCTGTTTTTTATTATTTAAAGATTTTTGGTTATGTCCCTGCAGAATTTATTTTTTTTAACTTCCTAATTTGGAGAAACTAGACAATCATTTTCCAATTAAATCCAGTTCAGACGTGGCAAAATAAGCAATGCTGACCACCACAACTTGTGCCATTGAGCACCTTAACGTGAACTGGAGTG